CCTTAGTTCTCCACTCTTCACTATGCAAAATTACATATTTATTTACACGAGCATGTATGTGATAGGGTGTTGAATACCAATGCATGGCAAAGATTGTGCATATGTATCACCCTCCTTACAACAAGATGGCAAATTACTTTTTTTTTATTTTTTGCGTTGGCCGTTGGCTTCTCGGCAGCTGGCCGCGTCTTCCTTTGCAGGCCAACAATAGCCCTGACGACATGCTGCTGCGGAAAACGAGGTCTTGGCAACAGAGTAGCAGGAAGCAGTCATAGTGTTTTTTTTGTCGGAAAACCTTCAGTCAGATGCGCGTCACGACCTTCATCCAGACTGTACACGCAAGCACGCGCAATGACATGCAACAACAGGATTACAAGAAGCGGCCGGCAAAGTCGCAGAGCTCGATCTCGATCCGATGCCTCAGCTCTCTCCCAGCCTCTCGATCGATCATGCATCATGTCGCGCCCGCAGACCCCATGCTCGCATCATCGGAAAAACCTCCCGGCCACACCGATGACGAACACCAAGAACAACCACTCCCTGCAGCATCCGTCAACGTATATATATGTACGTGCGTGCGATCAGGTGATGTGCTCCACAGATAGATCACATCGTTCGTCACTCACTGCTTCATCCATCATTCATCAACTACTGGAAATTAGAGAGCAGGCCGGATCTCTCGGAGAGCTGGAATTAAAAAGCAGTACCTGCGAAGAAGGAGAGAGCTAGATCAGATCGACGACCGATCGAAGATGGCGGGGGCGCTGTCGGTGCGCACGACGATGACGACAACCCAGCTGCTAGCAGCAGTCCTGTCCCTCTGCGTCGTCGTCTCCCTCTCCCTCCGCGGCGCCGACGCCGCGCGGGGCACCCCCGGCGACAGCCCGATCGTCGCCACCTGCCTGACGGGCCCGTACCCGGAGCTGTGCGTGGGCGAGCTGGGCCAGCGGCTGCTGGACGTCCAGACGGTCATCGCGTCCGCGGCGCCCAACCAGGGCGCGGCCAAGATCGCCGGCGCCCCGGGGCAGGTGGACGTCAAGGCGCTGGTGTCCGTGGCGCTGGAGGCGGCCTCGGAGGCGGGCACCATCTTGGTGTCCATCTTCGAGGGCAAGCTCCCGGGGTTCAACACCGGCGTGCCGGACTTCAAAAAATGCCTCGGCAACTGCACCGTCACCATGAAAAGCGCCATGCAGAAGCTCCACGGCGCCAAGGCCGCGCTGCACGCGGGCGACAAGCAGGTGGCCAAGACGCTCGCGCTGCGCTCCGTCGCCGACGTCTCGTCCTGCACCATCAGCTGCAGGGAGCTCAACGGCGACGTGCGCCTCATCGTCACGCAGAGCCTCACCGAGTTCACCAAGATGCTCCAGATCGCCATCGGCTTCATCAGCAAGATGAAGTCGGAGCCAAAGCCACCGTCGGAGCCACAGCCACCGCCGACGCGGACCACGCCATGATCACGCACGCATGCACCGGCCGTGTTTTTTAGCTAAGAGAGCGGAACGAACAAGCTCCTAATAATTAGCCATCATTCTGCGGAGTTTCTTTCATTTTTGTTTGTTTTCCCCCCATTTTGTTATAGTTTTGGTGTTGGTTTAGTGAATTCTCTCTTCTGTAAATAAGATTTTTCATGCATGACAGGCCTGGACATTGCTTGTCTGCACAGCCTAAGAATAAGATGCAGCTGCTCATCCTTACATGCATGTTTTCTTTCTCATTCATTCAAGAAAGACTTATGAATCTTATATTACTTTAACAAACTCTGTATTTGGCAGTACTACTACACATGGTATTCTTTTTTTACAAAGCATAGTACAGATGTAGACACTCGATCACATACTCCTTGTGTCCCTAAGTAAATCAATTTTTAGAGTTGTCTTAAGTTACTTTTTTCAAATTTAACCAAATTTATCAAAAAAACATTATTTATAACACCAATGGACAAATTATGAAAATATATTTCATATTGTATCTAATGATATTAATTTAGTGTCATAAGTTTTGGTGCTTTTTCTATAAATTTGAAAAAGTTTGACTTAAAATAACTTTAGAAATTGATTTATTTATGAATGGAGAGAGTATAAGTTAAAGCTCAGTTCGCTACACGCACGGTATCTAAAAGAATCCTTGTCCTTAGCACTACTAGATCGTTGCTGGACGTTGGCATGCGACAATAGAGGAAATAGTGTGGGGGGGGATGCGTGCTTATCTTTAGTAGTATATATAAATTAAATGCTAAAACCTCTACACATGCATGTCAGATCTGAGTCCTAATATAATGAAGTAATGGCCCTTCAAAACTGATCATTTCCTTTGTGTTTACTTTTGTTTGCTGGCTAGTTCATGAGCTTTCATTATATTCATTACCATATGCTCTTCAAAATGAATGCTCCAATTTAATTAGCCGGGTTTTTTTTTCCACAAAATGAATGCTTGAAAGCTGTTCAGTAATAGAGTTCACTGCATGCATGGAAGACAGAAGGCATAGCATGTGGATGCCTAGATGCTCTTTTTTTGAAACGAATCAGGCAGCTGCCGATTATATTAAAAAGAAGATAAGCCCAAAATGGCCACAACGAAATAACAATGACCAACAACCACGTCGCAAAACAAACTCAACAAAAGGAAAAGAAAAATAACTCTAGCCGGTCGGATTGGGACATCGACACGAACCACACTCAACAACTACCAGTTGGATTGAGACATCAACACGGGCACACTAACTCCACTCAACTCCAAACAGTTCCCCACGCCGCACCCCCACAAACCAAGAGTAGAGCCGACAAGTAGCCCTCACCGCAAGCGCCATTGTTACCGACGATGTCCCACGCCAACCAGTCGCTGCCATGCAGAACTAGCCGCCGCAGTCCGCTGCAAGCCGTGTAGCTACCACGACTCCCCCACCATGCCATCATCGTCTTCAGGTCACGCACACACGATCGTTGATCTCCCAACCACGGCCATGCGTTGGCAGAAGTCAGAAGAGAAGCCCACCGCACCACACCGAAGATGCTCTTTTAGACACACCAGCAACCAGGGCCTCTGTGTTCCTACCAACTCTTGTATAAGTAATAAATAAGCATTTCGACTGGGTTCCTGGACTCAAGGTTTGTCAGTTCCCCCTTCTTGAATTTGATCATTTTTTTTCCTAGATTCAAACATAAGATTTAGTGAAACAAAACAAATTAGGAGAAATGATAAGAAGGCAATTAACATTCAGATGACCATATGCTTCCTAATAAATTATTTAAGTTCGCCCATTTGCAAAGGTTTCCATGCCTTAGACCGAAAACTAACAAGAGTACAAGAATTTTTTGGCTAAAATACTGATTTCAATACGTAGATACAATGATACATCATCTATATGTAGCTGTAAGTCAAGAACATATATAAATAACATGCCATAAATAAACTAGGAGAGTTGTTTGAATAAATAATGTAAATAAACTAGAAGCAATCCTAATGATGATTAGAGTGGTGGTGCCATTAAGCAATCAATCATTAAGTTATTGTGAACAACCTCAGTATGGATTCCACTGGAGGTTAACCCCGAATACAAAGGCATTTCAATACTGACTGTTTTAAATAAAGGTTTTAAAAACTAATCAATTTCATAGCATACCAAAAGTGCTGACGGAATTGTCGATGCCAGAAGGCTTGGCATGAATGATCCTTTCCCCTTGGAACGCCCCCATTGGTATTCCATATGGCACTCCACATCTCTGCGCTTTTCGTCATATCCTGTAAAACACTAACCCATGAAACATAAGCCATTCTTCTCATACGCTTGCAGATTTTGAGATCCAGGAATAAGTTACCTCGCCTCAGGGTCATTTATGTTTTTCCCTGTAAAGCCTCAAGCGCAGTTTCAACAAACTTAATATCCCCCTGTAGTGTAATATCCCCCTGTAGTGAAGCAGCCGCATGGTGGCAGGAAAGAGAAACCATCCGGCCGTTTCAAACACTTCAAACCCCACTTGACCATCAAAAACTCAATCAGATGATGACCACTGCGTAGACAAATCTAACTGATTTATCAGAAATGTTGCTTGCCACACTTCTTCCAGGTGAAACAGGGGCAAAATGATTCTTAGGTACCTACGGTTGTGGTATGTGGTTATGAAAACTGACCCAGAAGAATTTTCGAGAAGAAAGGTCACCGTCGCGGACAGATCATCGAAATCTTGCCAAATAGATGCAATGGTATGTTAGTCAGCCAAAACAATGACAATACGAATGGAAATTGGTAGGTAGACAGTGAATGGATGGGACACAAAATGATCATTCACATTTGAGAAATAAATAACAGTAATAGATAGACTGAACATGGTAGCTCACTTGCTGAGTCGTAAATACATCAGCTCCAAGAATAATGTCAGGATGCAAATGAAATACCGGTAGAGTAGACTTGCACAAACGAAACTAAACTGGACTATAAACTTCATAGGCAAGCAGATCGATGCAGTTGATTGATGCTATACTATACAGGATGCATCGATGCATGCATCAAAAACGGGAAAGCAAAGACATAACCAGATGCAACAAAAGAAAAAAGCAGGAACTCATCCTATCCCAATGCTTCCACATGCAAGAAACATCTTCCATGTTGCCATATACGGTTACAAAGGAGTACCAAGGATCAACCGCAAGCATAAATAAATATTATACAGCCTGTACGTCCAACTAACTAGGAAAATATTACATCACTGAGGATATTAACGAATCAATCAACTTTGATTTCCTTTCCCCAATGATGCAAGTTCAACGCTCAGTTCATCCACAAAGTTCAGCTGTCACATTTCACCTAAATGGGCTAAGCTACTGGAGATAATACCAAGATAATCTAGAGATAACAAACGACACTCCTACAGACATGTCCACTCCAGGGACGGAGGTTCAGGAAGCAGCCACGGCGCCACAGCAACCAGCAGGTACCCCATTAACCTGAACTGCCTTCTTGGAGGTGGTGGTCCCCTTGAAGCTGCTGCGCTCTGGCACAGGATTCACCTGAACTTTGGCTTCTTGGAGGGTGGCGCTCCCTTGAAGCTGCTGCGCTCCGGTGCACGCGACTTGCTGAAGGTCTTCGCCTTGCGGCGCCTCCTCTCTTCCTCGCTGTCCGACTCTGCACCGTGCTCACGGTCCGCATTGCTTGCCTCGCGCTCCAGCTCCTCCCAGGTCTTGCCCTTCTCCTCCTCTGAGTCCTCATCTGACTCCTCATCATCATCGTCAGATTCCACCAAGGACTCGCTGTCGGAGTCATCATCTTCTGACTCGGACTCAGGCTCAGCATCGGAAGGCACATAGCCTTGGTCTGACTCCTCTGTGTCCTCAGTCTCCGAGTCACTCGCCTCCATGTTCAGGAACTCCCAGCCGCCATCGTCAATGAACTTCTGAGGATCATCAATTATAGTTTTCAAGATAGGACGCCAGTTCAGATTCAGCCTGCTCTCGTAGTACTTGAGGTCAGTTGTGTCCAGCCACTCCTTTATCGCGTCGAGCGATGCTGAAGGATGGAATCAATGCGGAGAACATCCTTCTTGAAATCCTTGAACACAATAGCCATGTCAAAGTTCTTCGTTCCAAAGCCTACCCTCTCCAGGTTAACAATCTTATCTCACTCAGGCTCACCACCAGGAAGGGGTCTCAATCAGCTCAACCAAACAAGTAGAAGTTGGAATGATGAAAGCGGAAGCTTTATATGGGACACCATGGAACCCAAGCTCCCTAAGGGGGACATCAAACTCCAGGTCAAGCCCCTTGAACTGTTGTTGCGACCAGTGGTCATTAACCTTGTTCACAAAGTTCTGGAAATCCATGTTTATTCTGTTCTTCCTATCCCTCTCACGCTGCTCTTCTTCAATCTCATCAGGATCAAGTGCCGATCTTCTACTGCCACCAAGAGTCTGAACAACATCCATCACTTCAACATAGAACTGGACATCCTTTGTCTTTTTGTTTCCAACCATGATATGGTTGTGCAGATGGAAATGAAGGAGAGTAATCATTTCTTTCTCTGCAGGCTGGAAAAAGGCATGCTTTATATTTCCAAACATGATGTCCACGCGCTCATCAGACCTTGAAGTAGAATATCTGAAACCATTGAAATGAGCCTCAAGATTTCCAGTGAGCTTCCTCCCACGACCACCAAATGCAGGTCGTATCCACACATCACTAAGTCTCATCATCTTCATTCTGTTGTTTCCTATCTGAAGTTTCTCCTGGGTAACAAGAGTTGCCCTTTCAGCTCTCTCCGACTCCCTTGAAGCAACTTGCCTCCTCAACGTTTTGATCTGCTGAACAACTTCACTGCTATGCCGTGGATCTTTTGAGCGGAATGTAATTTCTTTCAGATAGATAGCGCCTTGAGAATTTAGCTTGCTATCATTTGAGAATGGCATTCCAGGCACATTGAAGAAGACGCGGATAGTGCAGGTGCGGTTGTCCTGGTGGCTGGTCACACTCTTGACAGTAGAAACATGGAAAGGAACCATGCTGCCATAAATAGGTAAGAGGACAGCTTCATTCTTCTGATCTACTTGGATCACCAAATCTCTCACAAATGGTACATCATTAACATTCTTGTATGCAACAAGCTCATTTGAAGCCCTTGCAGGACCACGTCCCTCACCAGATCCAGAACCACCCCCAGCAAGCCTTCTAGCAGTCTCTTCATTCTTTTGACGAGCAAGTTCAGCCTGGTGCTGTCTCCGGAGCTCTTCCTTCGACATTTCCTGGTTGTCCGACCTGAGAGTTGCCTTGGTTGGCACGGCATCTATGGTCTTCGACTCTGTCTTCACCTCAGCAACGTCTTCATCATCTTCATTGAACGAATAAGCAACATCTTTGACAGCCTTGGAGCAAGGTGCTGTTAAGATCTCGTGTCCTCTTTCATTAACTAAAACTGTATCAGCTAACAACAGTGAAAACTGCTTTGTCTTCTCACTGGTGGTTTCTGCCTGGACGTTATGCAAACCAAGGGAGACATTAAAAACCATTCCATGTTTTATCTTACGATCATTCTTGGCATTCAGATTTAAGCCAGATTCTCGGAATTCAAGGCCTATTCCAGTTCCAGCTGACTTTGTTAGATTAGGAAGTAGTTCAGGGGCATCCCTCTCAATCACTGCCACTGCAGCTTGATAAACCGCACTCATCGGATTGCCTGGTTTCACTTCTTGAACAGCAGCTTCATGAGCTTTCAAAAGGGTCTCATATGCTTTACTTTGCGTAGGGGTAGCATCAATAAGATATGTCCGAGCAACATTTGAACAATAGCTACTGTATTTGGAACCAATTGCACAGATGATAACACTTGCTGAATCATAATACAAGTACTCATCGTTGCTAGACGCACCAGGCTTCAGATCAAACTTACCCCCACTTTGAAAGACTGGAGGATAGCATATATCAACATTGTCAGGCTTCAACTTCACCTTGACCTTGAGGGGGTCAAGAATAGCCTTCTCTGTGTCATCCATCAAAGATGAGTGTGAGACTTTCTTCTCCTCATCAATAACCTTCTCCAGCTTTGGAACCACAAAATTTTTCAGAACAGATGAAGTTAAGTAAGCAGCCTTCTTCACACACGTGATCTCTATGGTGTCCTTCACAGCAAAGAGCTCAGAGAAGCCGTTTGTTACATCTGTAAGTCGTACGCCTGACCCAGATAACTTTTCTGTCCATGTTTCAAGAAGCTTACCCTCAGGTACCTCTTTGGCAATGTGTCCAACAACTGGCTTGTCTGATTTCGATTGATTACGAGCAGACTGCACTATGTCATCCATCAAGTCAGCACCATCACCATTCTTGGTTTTCACATGCAACACAATGTCAGCACTAACAGCCTCATTTGCAGCCTTCTTGAGGGTCCTGATAAGATTTGCTTTCTTCTGACTGCATAAAACATGTATTTGCTTGTGCATGAAGACAATTATCGTTTCTGGAAATTCATATCCAAGTAACCAAATATCCAGGGCTGATGATTTCAAATAACGAAGATCATCAGAAGGAGGGGGGGTAGCAATTGCAATAGCATCAGATGAACTCCAAAGATCAGACTTGTGCTCCTTCCAATGGTCATAGAATACCTTCAGCCGCTTACTGAAGTTCTCAAGATTAATTGTATAGGCACCAGATCCCCCTTTGGCATTACCATTATCAGCCATCTTTGTCAAAAAGCTAACATTAACCGAGGCAACTGCAAAAAGAATTGATCCATAGTTAGCAAACCAGAACATCACAAGGTTATCCTAACAGTAAGCCATGAAAGTGTGAGCCTTAGGAAAATCCTTGAGAACAAAACAAAAAAATGTACAGGCAAATATGATGGAGAAGTAACACAGAATTCAAAATGGATAGTGGTCATCAAAATAACATTTTCCTTATAGAAAGGAGAGCAACTTGCGAGTTACTTCAATTACTATGGATTAACTATAGTCAAAATAAGCAGTAATTGTCCCAATAACACCAACACTGCAAATTAAGATGTTCATTTTAACATATAATACAAAAGAATATTTTCCTAGACCATACTTGCAATCTTAAAGCATATCAACTTCCATGAGTCAGTTTGGGAAGGGCAATTCGAAACCAAATAATTAGGATTTACTTCATCGAAAAAGGCCAGAAGTGACTTAAGGATTTCGGGTATAGTTTTCCTTGCGACGGCCCAGGGCGCGGCGGTACTTGTGATATTTCTGCTTGGGACGCGTTTTATTTGGCAGTTTTCTGGATGTTAAATACCATTGGATGGGTTACTTTTTATTGGCATTGGAAACACATTACATTATGGCAGGGCAACGTTTCACAATTTAATGAATCCTCCACTTATTTGATGGGATGGTTAAGAGATTACCTATGGTTAAACTCTTCACAACTTATTAATGGATATAATCCTTTTGGGATGAATAGTTTATCAGTATGGGCTTGGATGTTCTTATTTGGACATCTTGTTTGGGCTACAGGATTTATGTTCTTAATTTCCTGGCGTGGATATTGGCTCCATACAGACAGCTGAATATTAAAAATGCTAGCTGTGTGTATCTATTAAGCCATGGTGATGAAGAAAACCACTTAACAGGAGCATTTTCATAATCTGGTATTAGAGACACTGATGACTGATGAGATGCCAGTCATGTCAAAGAGAACAATAACATAAGATTTCAAAAGGATATTAACAAGTCATGTTGCTGTGGCTGATGGGAATATATGCAGCACGGATTCGGGTAGGCGTATAGGTATTGGAAGGATACTGATATGTAGGCCTGTTCACTCACAAGTTCAAGTAGTTTCGGCCGGTTTTCCAACCCAGCCCACTGGTAGACAGTTTCCTCGATTGTGTTGTGCGGAGGGTTGCTCATCGGGTTGGGTTGGGTTGGGCTGGGTTGCTGTACGGTTTCAATGGTTTGAAACCAGTCTGCTGGCTGGCTGTGCTTGTACGTGATTCTGGAAACATTTAAGCGTTCCGTGCTGCTTGCAATTGCTACAGTGACAAATCAATGACTGATTGTACATGCTGGGTTAGGCTGCTTGCAATTGCTGCCCTCAAGAACTAAAAACTAAACTGCAAACAATGTTTCAATCCTGTAAAAAATCATGCTCTAGCTGCAGCACTATTACTATCATGTACAAAAGAAATCCAAGCACAAACTAAATCCTTTGAAATGCAATTCCTATCATGTATAAAACTTAGAAAAATCCAGCCACATCTTATCCAAACACATCCTGACATGCAAATGAATGTAACAAGGGCGACACAAAGGATTTGAGTTTCCAAATCCATCAAGCAACATTTAGCAATACAATCTCAGTGAATCTAATATCATAATATTGGAAGAAAACCATATCAGAGCCCCACGAGCATATCTTATAATGTTTATTTTGCAACAATTCCAAAAAACCTCAATTATCATCGAGTTTTGAATGGAAGACTGATTTCAAATTGTGGTGATGACCCTGACCAAATATGGGAATATAGACATGTAAGATATTTGAAGAAGAAACAATCACAATGCATGCTATGAACTGACGGAAATACAATACATTGACTCTATAAGGGCCCAATGTATTACAAAATGTGATGCCTGAACTGTTGCACTGTCCTGATATCAGGTTGTAATAACCTCATGTTCAATATAACTGTTAGTCGCTGAATTCTCACTCTTGGTAGTAGGAGAATTCTTACTCTCATCGAGAGAGGATGACACTAGGAGTTGGGACAATTTTCTTGTCTATTTCTCACACAAGCTCACACAAATGCCATACCAACCTGAGGGATTGGGGTTACATATTTATAGGCTGCTAGCCAGCCAAGCATATGCCAAGATGCTAGTCTAAGATGCTAATATGCTGTCCTAGCTAAGATGCTGTCCTCTAGTCTAAGATGCTGTCCTAAAAACAGAAAAACAGCCACAAGGACCATGTGAGCAACAACAGCCCCACAAAGACCAGCCACACATGACTTATTCATCAATAACTAAATCCGAGTGACTGATCCCATAAATACCGTTAATTTTGCACACATCCATATCACATTGAATATAATTACTTGTACACTCAGAATAATCTCATGTTCCTTGTCAGGAATAACTCAAAGTAAGGTTTTGACATACATACATATTCAATTCAGATATTCTTCCTAAGACCACCAAGCAAGTTACAAGTCATAGACAACAGCCAAAAGCTAATCTACAATTCCAGAACAAAAGCTTGCTAGAAAAAAATCAGTGGCAAATTATAGGAGCAAAGCATGATGTACAATTATAGTGGTAGTAGGCTAGGCTAGCACCTAAGGTGACCAGAACAGGCATCACTGAATATAACACTAGGCTAGTAGCTAAATAGAAGTCTAACTTGCATCAGTCTATCAACACTGGCATTCTTAGTAAAAAAGAAACACAGCCAATGAGTTGCTCGTGTTTGCAATTCAATCATTTTCATGTAGAGCACCTCTTGTCTGAAATGGAGAGAAGGAATTCTAATCTCCACAGTTCAATTCTCAAATGTAGCAGTCTCAAATTTAGGAAATTAACAAAACGCATTCAGGCTCGCATCAAGTTTGTTCTTCGTCATTTGTCTCATTCTCGTCACACATCAAGCCGCAGATCATACAAACCAAAAGATGCAGCCTGCACTAGCACTACTCATATTTGGAGACTTGCACTAGCACTACTCATATTTGGAGACGCCATCTATTGCATAGAAGCAATCAAGCATGGAAAACCCTAATCAGTACGGGGAAGTGGGGAACAAAGAAAATCAAGCAACGAGAAGTCAATAACTGCATAAATAGAGTAGACCGAGAATGGGAAGGGGAAGTGGTGGACAACGAAATCAAGCAACGAGAAGTCAAGAACTGCATAAACAGAGTAGATCGAGAATGGGGAACGGGATGAACTCACGGGTGGTCGCCGGATCGACGCCGCGGGGTGCAGGATCGTCCCTGGTGGCCGGCGAGCGGGGGCGGGGGCTCGTCACCGGAGGCCGCCGAGCAGGGGAGGAGGCCCGTTGCCGGCGGCCGGCGAGCGGGGGCGAGGCTCGTCGCGCGTGTGCGGTAGAGGCGGCGCGAGGGCGAGATGCTGGCGTCGGGCGGGGTCTAGGGCGTGCGAGCGTCGGGGACAGAGGGGCGATAAGGGCGCGGCCGCGCGGTGCTATTGTTGGGCTTGGGCCGCATTCAGTAAAAATTGGATCGGTCGCGTATCCATATCGGCCCATTGTACTCAATATTTTGGGACACTATTCATGTTATTATATATAGTGCTTCGAGTGCCATAACCCACATGGCCACATTCCTCTTCTTTCTCAAAAAGGAAAAAAAAAGGAAACAACATGGCCACATTCCTAAAGCTAAAAGCATAGTAGTTGATTGATAAAGTAACGGTGGACAAGAACAACACTCGTGGAGAACGAAATTCCCCTTAAAAAGGGAAAAAACTAGTCGAGTGGTTTCCTTAATAAGAAATATATGTGTGTATAATGACACTAACCTATGTTACAAGTTTCTATGTAAAAGCTAGATATAATTGTGTTACCCTTGAGAAATTGAAAGTGGTGACATGCCTTGGCGCATGTCATATAGAACACCATGACTCTTGTAGTTGTCCTAAGATTACTGACACAGTATAGCACACTGATTATGGTATCTAACATGTACTCCCTCCGTTCCAAATTATAATTCGTTTGACTTTTTTACCCTAAGTTTGACCACTCATCTTATTCAAAAAAATTGTGCAAACATAGTCAAATTTAAATCATTCTTGAAGAACGTTTGTTAATAAAGCAAGCCACAACAAAAGAAGTGGTATTTTGCATAAATTTTTGAATAAGACGAGTGATCAAACTTGGGATAAAAAAAGTCAAACGAACTATAATTTAGAACGGATTTAGTATATATCTAAATCAGATAGAATCCTCCAACCTTACAAATGCACACAACTCCACAATCCCACCGAATAGGCCATGCTCATGAACCCTAAGGACAATCACCGTCTAGATGACCAAGGGAAAGAGCAATTTTTCTATTTGACAGACATCCCTAAGCCCCAGCTCTAGTCTACGATTCCTATAGCGAAACCTACAACTAGTACACCCAAGATGTCCCCACGCCATGGGAGAGGCCTCAACATGCCAAAACGTGTTTCACATTTCAGACGCTACAACTATCCCGGGATGCGGCGAGGCGAATCCCCGACAAAGCGGACAGATGGGGGCGTTTGTCTGTGGAAGTCAAAATGGATTCGCGGGATCACGTCACCGCGAACATCACGCATGAACGAAAATCGAACAAGGTGCGCAAAAAGAGTAGGGTAGGATTTCCTTACCTAACGACGCGAGGAGGGGTGCACACCCTGTGAGACTAGTGCTCTCGACGGTAGCGGTAGGGCGTCCTTAGGAGGTGGAGCGGGGCACAGTGGGCGAGAGGAAGGCACTCCTATGGCATGAGACTACATACCAAGGCAGCGGTAGGCCGGCAGCGCCTCATCATGGGTGGCGCCGCTAGTGGGAAAGGGAGTAGGAGAAGGGGAATTTTGGTTAGGGTTTATGAGTGGTGACGACTAGATGGAAAGATTGTCATCGAGAGGGTGAAGGGGAAGGAAGTGGGCCATAATCGAGGAGGAAGCCACCAATGCTTGTTGGGCTTTCGTTACTGGGTCTGGCTAGCATTCAA